TATTTTTGACGGGCGTCAGGATGGTACAGCATGTCTAGACTTTTTTTCGAAAAAGACTACGCATGACAAATAGAATGACTCCAGTCACTTTCATAGTCCGGACGGGCACTATGGACTATACGAGATTTCAGACTAGTTCTGTACTAGGACATTTTGTGAAAAAGACTAGACTAGACGGCCGACTTGTCTAGAAAAAAGACTAGTCTTTTTACTAGTATTTTGGTCACCTGGGTACATAGCCTTTTTTGCTACATTCGGTGCTTTGGTAAGCTGAGGAGATTATAGACTTTTCATTTAAAATATTTGTCTTTTGATCATCTAGGCTTGGCATTTATTACTATTTGAATCATCCGTAGATAATCTATATCAGCCTATTCTTGCTAAAAGGCATGTTGTCTTACAGCAGCAGAAGAACATATAGCTGATGGCAATGTGCGAGGAAAAGTGTGTTTCTTTGTTTGTACTCGATTATTGTCGACACATTTTTTTCTCAAATTACAATACAATCAAGATGATGCCTCTCTTTTGTTTGCTCAATGCAGTCGCCGACCTGACGAAAATCAGTTGATTAAACCACTTTATAAGACAAATGTTGAGAAGCTTGAAGCTGAAAGAGAATTTCAAAGTAAAATTTTCCATGCTACACACCAAAAATTATCCTATTATAAAAAAATAATTAATACTTTACGATCAAAATCGGAAGCACAGACTAGATTACAAGATTACATATCTCAAATGCCTATTATAATTGAAGTCATTCATTTTAAGACTGAATTATGCAATCCAGAATCGACTCGATACTCTTTGAAAATTTTACGACGGTTACTGGATTCATTTCAGTTTCTGAAAATGACTCGATATATTTATGCTCTAAATCAATTTCATCTTCTCTTATATCGAACTTTTACTCAATTGATTGAACGAGAAGAATTTCATGCTATTACATTAAAACAATTATATGAACGAGCATGCCAATCTTCAAGCAATGTATGTCAATCCAATCTAGAAACTAAATATATGACGATCATTAAAAACAGAATTGAAGCTGTTAATGCTTATCATGCATTTCCCGATGGACAAATTCGACCAGATGCATGTGACATAACTCAACATTTTGAAACCATATCCATGGAAACACCAGTTAGTTATCTCGTCGAAACAGAAAATACCGATGAAGGGGATATCATTATGCGTATATTAAGGTAAATATAAAGAACTAGATGGTATTCAAGTTTCACTCGAATACGAATGCGATGCGAATCTCGAATAGGATCTTCACGAACAATCTTCAATTCAGAGAAATTCTGAATACTTCTTTTCTCGACATGATCAAATTCATCACTGAGAAAACTCCATTCTTCCTTAGAGATGCATTCTTAAGGATCGATTTCGATTGATCGATTAATTACCTCCATGATTCATTATCTTAGATCAGCTGTAAATGAATAGACTATAGTGACTAACATATGTTCATGACGTCACTTTAATTATCTCTTGATAAATTTCTTTCATTTTCGTCATTTTGGAACCACATTTGTGAGTGAACGGAACTTCAGATTAAAGATACGAAAACAGATCTTCTTAGTTCGATCTTGATACTTCGCTCTCACGTTTCAACGAGTCTTCTACAATTTTCGGTTCTCGAGATCATCGCGACACAAAATGACGACCTGTGATGCGTACGTCAACTGAGTAAACTAGATGGTATTCGAGTTTCACTCGACTACGAAATGCGGTGCGAAGCACACGAGCCGAATTTTCGAAAGTAGCGAGAATAAGATTTATAAATAAATGATTCACTTTAAGATTCATTACAAACGTTTATTTTTTTTTAATTTCCGTATACGAATTTTGAATAAAAATTTGGCATTCACTATTCTTAAATCGACCATTTTGAAATTCATCACTAGGAAATCTCTCTGAAAATGTAACAACCAGTTGTCTAACAATTTTTTTCATTGAACGATTAATTATTTTAATGATTCACTATCTTAGATNTCCAGGAAAAATCTGCAATTCAGAGAAATCTTGAATACTTTTTATGTCGACATGATGAAATTCATCACTCAGAAAACTCTATTCTTACTTAGCGATACATTCTTAAGGATCGATTTCGATTGATCGATTAATTATCATCATGATTCATTATCTTAGATCAGCTGTAAATGAATAGACTATAGTGGCTAACATATGTTCATGACGTCACTTTAATTATCTTGCAACAAATTTCTTTCATTTTCGTCATTTCGGAACCACATTTGTGAGCGAACGGAACGTCAGATTAAAGATTCGAAAACAGGTGTAAGCAGTTCGATCTCGATACTACTATCTTGCGTTTAAATGAGGTTTCTACGATTTTTGGTTCTCGAGATCATAGAGTCACAAAACGACAGAAAAGATGCGTACGGTCAAGTAAAAAAGAAAAAAAAAACTCGCGACGCATAACAGAAATTCTGTGCTTCGCATCGCATTAAAAAAACTCGCGACGGACTGCATAAATGCGTCTGCTTCGCATCGCATTAAAAAAACTCCTCGTAGGACTACATAAATGCTATGCTTCTCATCGCATTAAAAAAAACTCGCGACGGACTACATGAATGCAGTGCTTCGCACCGCATTAAAAATTTCGGCTCACTCTATAAAGATACAGAATACAATGTCGAGTGATTTGATTAAACTTTAATGTTTACAGTGACAAACATCTATAGATTCATTATATTAAAAATTGCACAATGATTGAAGTATAGGTGGATGATATACAGGTAGTTTCTTCCCAAACGTCATCTCATAACGCAAAATATATTCGCTAACAATCAAACATTGTAAAATGGTCTTCTTAATAATAAAGATAGAATGTTTATACAGACTTTTTACTTTAGTTACATGCATGAAATGTTCTGAAGACTTTGAAAGTAATTGAGACCAGAGTTGATCTATATATGTCCAACATTTTAAGTCAGATATTCTTCGTTCATCCACCATTAAGAGCATTGTGTTGTTGACCATCGTAATTTATGCCATTCAAAGTAGTGAGTTAAAATGATAAATCTGATCAGTTTCAATTTTAGATATCAATAAATAGTTGTTTAATATGAAATATATTGGAATCAAGTTCTGATTGATAATGCGTTTATACAATACAACTATTTAGAACATAGGATACTATATTTTCTCCCATATATTCTAGTCGAACGAATCATATTGATTTAGTTCAAGTCTATGGTAGTTTTTTTAAAATTTTTGAGTAATCCATCACAAAGAAATAGAATGCGTTATTTTCATTTCTAAAAAAACATTCAAACATATTCCCAAACAATTTATTCGTAATATTAATCTTAGGCCATGTAGCAGAATTATATAATATATTATAACAGGAAATCTTTACAAAACGACAATCCGATTTGAAAAAGAAAGAAATACATGATGTAGTAAAAATTACTTGTAGGTGTATTATTTATTAATATGTAACTTGTAATTTATGTTCGTAAGCATCAACAGTTACATATCAATGCACAACACATATATTTGATGTTAGAAGGACAAAAGAGAACCCAGGTGAATGAATACGACGGTGAATCCTATCGGATTTCATGGGACTCGACAAGCCGACAAAATCCGGTCGGATTCCTGGTCTAGGGCCTACTAACGATTCGACGGAAAATTTTTTTCTTAATTACCAATCCAATGAATAAGCATCTGGTATGAACAGAACACATGGGTCGAATGCTTATGTTGGATTCCGTTAAATTCTGACACTGGAACCTATCGGATTCCAACACTAGGGTTCCGACTGTAGATCCTACATCCGTATCCAGATAGGATTTCGTCGGTTCAATGAAATTTATATTATATCCGATCAGATTTCGACACGAATCCAATAGGATCCTACTATCGGAATCATTCTTCTGGGGAATATGACAATTACAAATATTTTATTAATTACCTAAAAGGAAAGTCATTATTATTTTTCTTGAGATTCGATTATACGCGTTTGTTTTGTATTTAAGAAAGCAGTGGCGTTACCGAATTGACATTGATGTTGATCATACTACTGCTACTCTCACTTTATTTCATTGAAGAGCACGTACTACATCATACTCCAGGATACTGATACTTAATACCGATACCAGTATCATGCATGAAATATTGACAATTCTACGTGATCGATAATTTCGAATTCTATTAAGTTGTAAAAAAGAATGTATTGTTCTATTTTATTTTTATTAGATAAAGACATCAACATTGTATCTATTTACAGAAATATTTTCGAAAATATCTACTGCTGCTTTCTCATCACATTGTTTCTCTTCAGCAATAATTTTAATTAAACACGTTTTCAACGAGCCAGCCAATTTAGTTGCACTTCCACAGGTGTAAAAACGTGCACCACTATGAAATAGTCTGACAATCTCTTGTCGATCATCCCATACCAAATGTTGTACATACTTTCTATCATTTTCTGACTGACGAGAAAATACAGTTTTTACTTGAACAACACCAAGCTGTAACCATCTATTAAGTTCGTTAGAGTATAGAAAATCTTGCGATGACCGACAACCAAAGTAAAGTATCATTGGCCCAACTTCTCTTCCGCATTCTATTTGTGCAGCTCTTTCCTGAATAAAACCACGAAAAGGTGCAATACCGGTACCGGCAGCAAACATCACCACGGGTATTTTAGTATCTTCAGGCAAATGAAAGCCAGCATCACTTGCTCGAACAGTGCAATTGAGACGATCTCCTTTTTTCAGATTAGAAAGATAATTCGATGCAACACCATAGTAGCGTCCATGCTTACTAAAAGCTAAAGCATCAATGACATCGAGAGTAAGTGTTACTACTTCAGCATTCCAGAGTGGCGATGATGAAATACTATATTGACGAACACGAAGTGATGGAAGCATACGCAAATATTGAGAAAATGGTAGTTCACAGGATGAATTAAGTTCAAGAATATCCAAGATGCTTAGATGTTTATCTAAAATCTCTGTTTGGTATGAATCATTAACAAGACTTACTAGTTTCCGTTGTTCATTCTCATTTTTACATAATGCTGCCACTGTTTCCAGTTGTTTTCTACTGATCGGCTGAGTTAATTCGACGTAGCCACTTAAAATTTCAAATACATTCACTGGAGCACCAATAGGAAGGAATGTGTCAATAAGCGAATGAATTTTGATTTGAGCATCAATAGATAGATTAAATCGTTTCAGAACTCGATGAACCAGTTGAGTTGGATTTCTTGGTAATACAGCAAGATAATCGCCAACGCGATATGTTTGTCCTTTAGGCAATTCAATCTCTATATGTCGTTTTGTCGGTCCAAGTTCACTCGCTTCAGTCAGTACTTGATTTTCTTTGATAAAACCCATATCGATAATTTCTCCACGATTTCTCGATGAATGAATCAACTCGATGTTCATCATTTCATCATTTATAGCAGACTCAACACCAGTCAAGTGTCGTAAAACTTTGAAAAGATTTTCTTTCCATGCCTCAAATGATCCGAAAAAGTCTCCTGCAGAATCGCCAACACCACGGTCAATGATTTTGATGCCTCCCGCTTTTTCAAGCATCTCATCGATATAAATCGGAATCTTTTGATATGTACTAACCCAATCATGATGACCTGCACCGAAGACAGCATACTGAATGTTCAATGTTGGTTGTGATGCTAGATAAGCGACAAATTGTTTCGCATTATCACAAGGTTTGCCTTCGTAAGATGAAGTGAGAATAATTACTGGGCGATCATTGACCAAAGATCCAATGGCAGAGTCAAGAGTATTAATGGTAGCACTGAATCCATGTTTTGGTGCCTCCGACGCTAATATAGCAGCAAATGACTCACATGAGCCAGCATTACTACCAAAAAGAATCGAAATAGATCTAGATTTATTTTCATTGGTGCCAGTTGAATTATTTGGTATTACTTTTTCCTGCTTTATTTTAGTATCCAAGAGAATTTTCACATGTTGACGTGATCGAACTTTTATTTTGAATCCATCAGGTTTGATAGTCAGATTCTGTTTAATTCGTAGATCATAAGAAGGATCGACGAGATCAATATAAAAATGTTTTAAAATCATTGCTACAGCCAAAAGACTTTCTTGCATAGCAAACGGTCGCCCAATACAACTGCGCTGACCATTTCCAAAAGGTTTCCAAGCATTCTCTGGAAGATTTTCAAAACCTCCATTAAGCATTCTTTCAGGAAGAAATTCTTCTGGACGATCCCATATTTTTGGATCCCTATGCAACTGAGATAGAAGAACGAGTATTGTATCATCTTTGGATATTTCGTATCCACCAGGTAGAATGGTTTTGTCGTTCTTCGATTGAAGCGCGAATAAAATTGCTGTTGACTGCAATCGAAGTGTTTCCTTTAAAACTGCATCGATGTATTTCAATTTGCTCAATGTATCAATCGTTATTTCATCATATTGGTCAACTTCGAACTGAGCTTTTTGCAAAGCATTTGGATTTTTTAGAAGATAATAGAAAGCAAATGATAGTAATCCAGATGTTGTTTCGTGTCCAGCTACAAGAAAAGTAATCATTTGATAGCGAATATTTTCATCGGATAGTTGATATCCAGTGACACTATCTTTGCCGTTGATCATTCGATTGAGCAAATCATTGACATCATTTGGATGTTCACGTCTTTGCTTAACTATTTCATCGCACAATCCGTGCAAAACAGCAATATCGTCATTAAATCGTCGATTGGTTCCAATCATCAGCATCTGTTGTAATGCTAAACGTTGTACTCTTTTGCCACTTTCAATGAGAACATTTACCATGGAATCGACAAAGCTATGCATTTTTTCTCGATAAAAGCTATTGAATCGATAATTGAAGCTACACAATGCAATCGTATCCAGAGTCAATCGAGTAAAATTGTCACAGATATCGATTTCTTCACCTACAAACCGTTCCCAACGAAGAATCAGCTGCGAAAGAATATCCATCATTTCTGGAAACATATTACGAATAGCTTGAGGTCCAAAAGCAGGAATAAGAATATTGTGAGCCAACTTCCAGTTTGGTTCGGAAGTGTGTGCAGTGAAGAGACCGTCTCCACTCACTGCTCGAAGTTCTACTAAAGCAAGGCCGATTTTCTTATCAAATTTTGATTCGTCGCAAGCCATATTGACGATTTCTTGACTACTGATTACCACGATTCGGTTGCCAAGTATATCCAATTTGTAAATACTACCATAAAGTTTTTCAAGTCTTTGTAAAGATTGCAAGAAACGATCCGGATCTATTTCGTTCACATTTCCAAGTAAAAATCTTGCTGGTGGTTGTGGAATCGGTGTTGTCATAATGTCGATAGTTGAACAAACACGGAAGACGCTGGGCGATGCAATTTCTTTTTAAAACAGTTTGGCATAAACAAAATGGCGACGCAACCGATACAAATAAACGCTGCTTGTTTCAGTAACTAAATGTTCGATTTCAATTGTATTATGATGATTATTCTATCAAACTTGAATGCAGTCTTTTTATATAAGAACGGTTGCTCCTTCAAATGCTACCTTTTTCATCGCTCTGCATTTGATCTCAGAGAAGAATTTTCTAAAAGTACGTACCAACAGTACGTGGTTGATAAGAGAACGCATGCAAAACTGAGTCATATATCGTTTTTTTTATTTCTTTGCATTTGATGCCAAGTTCGTATTCTTCTAAAAGTGCGTACTAAAGGTATTCGACTGATGCAATTACGCACACAAAACTGATTCATATACTATTTTTTATATTTCTTTACGTTTGACACCATGGTCATGTCTACTTCAAAGTACGAACGCAAAGTATTTGTTGTCTGTTTCGATTTTTTGTTTTGCTGTTGATAAGAAAGAAAAACACAACGATTGGGAACTTAAATAATCGAAACAATGTGAATGTGTATGAGAGATTCGATTTGACTGTTGCAGAAAGGATCAACTTGTTCTGAATTGTCTTTTGCAATTCATCTTATCTGAATCAAATAGTTGTATGTGTAGATCTCAATCTCATTGCTACCTCTCTTAAAAATTCACAATAGAGCACTGTTTGTATCTATAGATTTTGAAAAGCTACATTTGATATATGCATGAATTAGAACCCATAATCATACAAATTAAATTCTATCAGCTCAGTATTGGTATTAGTGCAGTTAACAAGATTCCTGTCTTACAATTGAAGAGAAACTATAAGAAAATTAGAACCATTCTTAGATACCAAAGATAAAAAAAATATATTCTATCATGTAAAGATAGACTGTACTTGTAGTGTGCATTTAAAAAAATTAAAGACAACAAAATGCAACCAAAAAACACTGGTACAACACGATACGAAACAGGTATACGATCAAATAAAAAAAAGGATTACGATCATGAATAGATATTTATGTTTCTATTGGAGGAGCCAACGTGTGATGTGAGTGACGAAGCATCAAATTACCAACTTTTACATGTCTTGAACATAATTGAAGTTTTCTGAGACCTTGAAGAACTGTTTTTCGTAGTGCTTTTCTCACTTCGCTCGATAAAGATACATAAATATAGAAAGTAAATATGAAGTTGAAATGATAAAACAACATAATTATTTGGCTGACTAAATTTTCCAGAGCGATTTGATTGGCATCTCGTTGAACATTACTAGTCAAATAATAGTAGATTCCTTCTAGACCAAATGGAACACCGGACACGACCAGTAAGAAAAGCTGTGGTATTAGCATGCGGCGAACTTGTTTTGCTAAGTGTTCATGTGAACTTTGAACAATAGCTGAACGGAGATTTTGAATAGTGCCTCGTGTGTAATAAAGCATCACCAACGCAGGTATGATAATGTGAACAAGGGGTGTTAGAACATAAGTATTGAAGAGCTTATAAGGACTTTGTCTTAACTGGCATGTACCATCAATGATTTCACTAGTAAATATAATTGGAATATAGGTAAGAATCCAAAAAATAACAGTACAAATGATGGCTAATCGTACAAAACGCATTGATCTCCACCGATTTCGAAAATTAGCATCACGTGACGTACCCACATATTGATCGAAGGCAGCCCAACAGGGGAAACAAATTGTTGAGACTGTCGTAACATAACGAATGTAGGTGTGCTCACGACACACCGCTTCGTTAGTATTATATACACCAAAATCAAATCCACCGACGAGCATTGTTTGAATGTCAACTATTAGGAGATGGATACCAGCAAGTACAGAGCCAGCCATTAAGTAGTTAATCGTTGTATTTCGTCGAAAAGAAGCATGAAGAGTGAAGACAATCATTGACAATATCACTCCGACGATACCAAGAATCATTAAGGGTAGAGCAACAACATAATTGATCATATGTGCTGCTAGATGAAGTTTTCCACTGGTTGACATGTGTTTATTGACTTAAATATTGCGAATTAAGTGAAAGCTGTGTTTTTATTGTTCTCTTAAAGAAATTGAAAATTTCAGCTGTTGTTTCTTGAATTTCAAACGAATGAAATTTTCTGATTTCATTTTCATTCGGTTCACCCTCGGTTTCTCATGTTGGATAGTAGTGATCGATGATGTAGACAATTTATGGGACACTATTACTGACACCGATGGCTTCAAGATTAAATAAATACTAACCTGTTATACAACTACGAATGAATTCTTACCAATTTTAAAATTTACTTGCATTTGAATGACAACTTTTATTTGACTCTACTGTTCGAGATGGAAATTTTATTGTAATAAAAAGAATCTATTCGGTATAAACTCTAAATCAATAATTCTTTAGCTTATCTCAAAAGTCTTCTCCTAAAAAATATTTTTCATTACTATTTGACGCTAATTGATGAACTATTTCATTTCGATATAAAATGTAATTACTTGAGCATACAATAATATGATAATAGACATATGAATAAAACATGATTATTGCTACGTATTAAATAAACAAAACCAGCTGAATACAGCTAGCTAACAGTCAATCTATAAGAGAATTGGCATCTGAGACTGATTAATATTTTTATGATTTCTTTCAAAATTGTCCTCCATCTAATCGCATTAACTCTATTCACTTTTTTCTCATTTTAAATGCGCAACTATCATCAAAAAGAATCTCGGTGTCAATTTTTCAATTGTCAGAGACTAGACTATTGAATCTGGAAATGCTATTTAAAGCGTAAAAGAATATACAGTATGACACAAAGTATAATACTTAGTTAAATAGTTTTGTGTTTATCTTTTCTATTCGATTTCGAAATACTTTCAAAGATTGTGCTTGGTGCGCTGCACTTAATCTAGTTTTATCTCTATTAGTTTATGATATCAAGATTTTCAAATGAGATTTAATAGAACAAAGATATCTGTCTTATGCTTTAAATATATTCTGGAAATAATCATGTCATACATGAAAGATAGTTTCTATTTGATATCCATTTGACGGATGAAATTTCTGCAGTATACTGGTTTATTTAATAATAAGGTTTTTTTTCACCAGCTAATTCCCATGGTTTTCTATCTCAAATAGCTCGCTTTATAATCGTACTCGCAGTGCATTGTATTTATCGAAGCGTAAACTAAAGAAAGATTATCGCAAAATCTAGTCTAATGTGAAATATTTAAAAGCTCACATAATTGTGCATCAAATGTTACATAAACGTACATATTATTCTTTCATATGGAATGTGCCGGTAAATGTCAAAATTGGCGGTAAATTCATAGACACATTCAATTGAACTCCATAAATGTGGATGCATGTTATTGCCGCATATACAACTATGAAAACGTTTTTAAGACGACCTATCACATGGAATACAGCAGATTCTAAAATGGCCAACACATAAAATATACAAATGAGAATGCAGAAGAATGCTAATAACTGTGATGAATTTTAAAAATGAATAAGATTTTTGATTCGATATAGTTCGCCTTTATGGGAGCTTGATCTCATTTTAACGAAAGACGAATAAACATGCGATGAAGAAAATGTGTAACTATTGCATGAAGTAGCATGCGGAGTTAAATGTAGCTGTAATTTGTACATCATCGCATTTTGTGCGTGAATCACGCCCGTTACAGAAACACGCAGCATTATTAAAAATAAAATTATGCATTACTGAGCATGTTTTGAGTGAGTAGGAAAAAATTGATTATGTGCATATAGTTGTCTCACAGATTCTCTTGAATGTGCTACTATTTTAACTTTGTCCGTCACACAAGTCGATATTTCAGATAAATTCAATGTACGTGCATGAGATAACAGTGATTGGAAAAATAGATTGCTACTTAATGCGAATATCTCATGCGTCCTGTAGTCTGTGATTGGACTGGCAACTACTATACTATTTCTTGATAATTGATTCGAATGTGTTTATGTTTTTGTCTATCTCACAAGTAGTAAAGATCGTAAATTAATTCATATCACAGATTTCAAAAAGTTTATTATTATTGACTATATGTGGAATTTTTTCTTCTTTTTCATCGAAGGATCTTGTTCAGAAAAGATATTTACTGGAGTTGGACGTGTTTATTTTTATATTCATAACAAGAGTAAGTCGTTCTTACAGTAACGTAAACTGCCGCTTAATATAGACTGAAAGATAAATTGATAACTAACCTTAAAAAAGACTTTCTAAAATGTAATAAAATGCAAATATAAATATGAAAAGGAAAAGTAACGAATTAGTCGAGCAGTAAGACTTAAAATACTTTTCTATTTTCTTTTCAGAGTGTGGTTGATGAAAACAAAATAGAGAAGACAATAATGATTTCACACGTAGATGAATTGAGACACGAATCAACATTCTATCCGGCGAAAGGTAAAATGAGATAAAACAAAACTCAGATAACTAGTGAAGCTTTTGATGAAGCCGATTTTTCGGAATAATGAACATTAGCATGTATTAGACTATATGGTATCGCAGCCTATTTCACATAATGTAATGCATAATTGATTTTTAATTTTTACAGTACATCATCATGAGTGAAATGCGCTGTTTAAGCATATAATTACACGCATTTTTCGTTTAATGCATTTTCAGACATTCAGAACTTCTTAAGTTGCGTTATTATGATTGAAATTTCATGTCTATGGCTTCTAACTGTAACTATAGTCCAATACGTGTACTGCTAATCCTACGCACTTATCTATAAATCTTCTACATGTATTCGCATATGTATAGGATGATGTATATATGACTCCGCTTATAATCGTACAGCATGTGTACCCTTGTAATGGCATATTACGATAATAAATTTTCCAAAGAAAGAACAAAGTAAAATTCTGTAATCTATCGTACTTTCAGCATGATGAAGTTCAAAGTTTTTTTTCTTTTTGTGTACTCAAAAAGTGAATACACTCTAGATTCGGTCAGTGTGTCCGGCCGTTAACACGATAGCTCTTGAAAGCCTTATCCAATTGTCTTGAAATTTTGTACACAGAATGATCTCATCAATATCTCAGTCGAATTCGAAGCTGAAAGGATCCATCAAGAAATGGCTGAGTTATCGAAAACATTGTCATTACTGACCAGACCATCCCTGAGGGCGGGGGAGGGGTACAGGGATTTTTTCAAAAAAAATTTTTTTTTCATAATTATTCAAAACATATGTATATAAATCGACTCAGTTTGTGCAGTACACATAACAATCGGATGTGAATCCGATGTTTCCTCATTTATCCTTCCTTGCTATAGCTACCCTTATGGCGATACTGGTATCGGTAAATGTTCATTCCATGCTTCACTCTTCCTCTACCCATGTAACAGTTTAGGATCGAAAAAGCAACTAATTACAAAGTACTTTGCATATTATTTCGCTTATTGGAGAAAGTTACTAATAAGTGAACCTTTTAAAGTAACCATAAGTATACTTATGAGTGTCAAGTACTTTTTATTAATTTAAAAAGTAATAAAAAGTACTGTTCACTTCTAAGTGTACTATTAGTTACGTAAAAAGGTTTCCTTATTAGTGACTTTTGGTAATAGTACAAAAAGTAATTAATAGTAAATGTTTTGAATCTCAACTTTGCATAGGTACTTAAACTTCCATAGTACTTTCTAATACTTACAAGCTCATAGTATTTTTTCTTACTTGCATTGTGTCATGGTACCTGTCTTACTGATGTTGCTATAATAATTTCTATCGCTTACCTTTTCATAGCACTATTTAGTACTTAACATACTAATTTTTAGCATGAAAATGACTTATTTTACTTCGTGAGGTGAGATTCGAACATTTCGCGTTAAATTATTTACTTTCTTCAACTTTTCCTACAATATAAAAACATTTAGAAAAATAGAAAAAACATTAAAAGTAACTATAAAATTTGAAAAATAGTAGAGACATTTACTTTATTTTACTTTATTAATAATACAACTAATGATAAGTAGATTTTTTTCCCTTTTATTGTTACATTGGTTAGGTTAGTATTTGCATGAGTGGATTAGTAATCGTTAGCATATTTTAGAATGGACAACAACTGAAATCATTACTTTAAATAATCGAAAAGCAGGTGTTCCTATTTCTGAATAAACGCGACCGGTTTCTGTTCTTGCTGCTCACTTAAACATTTACGAAAGAATTCTGTTTGAGAGATTGAAATAATGGGCGATGTTTAATAAACTAAAATTAACCGAACAATCAAGTTTTTGTAAAGGTTGCTTACTATAGGCTAGAGTTCTGTCAATGCACCAAGTGAGAAAAAAATAACCTAGCAGGTAACATATCCAACTTAGATATTTTACGTGGACTATAGAAGAAAGTGCATGACTTAGTGTGGCACATGGGTCTAATCGTAAAATTAGCTAGGATGCAAATGCGTATGGAACAATGAGATGCCTAGTTCGAATTCGAAAATAAATGGGCATCCAACTGCATGGTATCAATTCGAAAATAAGTGATAGAAATAGATTTAGTTTTAGTTTAACTTTTTCTTTTCTCCATTTATATTCGAACTCGAATTAGACAGCTACTCTGTGGAACTACTGAAGATTCTAAGGGATTTGCTAGGAAATAGAAAGGGATACGACTCCTTTGGTAACGAGCATTTGGAATTGTTTAAAACACAGGTGGGCCTCCCACAAGAAAGCACACTAAATCCATACATTTTTATAATCTATCATGCAGATATAGTAAAAGAATGTTGGTGCTTCCTTGGTGCATCTCTTCGCCGAAGACCTCACTACAGTAATAGTACCTCCGATTCACGAAAAACATCAAGCAATGATATACTTCATTAATGCCAGATGCACTCAAATATGCCAAAATCGATTGGAATACTCAAATAGATGGATGGAAGCAACCGATTAACATTTCAAAGATAGTGGCTTACATTTTCCACCAATCAGTGGAACGGTTGGAAGCACTCATTAAAATTCACAACTATGCACTAGAAACCGTCAGAT